TTTTTTGAGACAGGGTTTCTCTGTGTAGTCCTGGCTGTCCTGGAACAGCCAGCTTTCAGATAAGTATTAACCGACAAGATAAAAGTTTCTTTTCCAGCCCGGCGGTGGTGGCACACTCCTTTAATCTAAGCACTTGGGAGGCAGAGGCAAGCGGATTTCTGAGGCCAGCCTGGTCTACAGAGTGAGTTCCAGGACAGCCAGGGCTACACAGAGAAACCCTGTCGCGAAAAACCAAAAAAAAAAAAAAAAGGTTTCTTTTCCTTCAGTGGAAATCCGAAGGTGTTTTAAAGAACATTGTCTATACATAAGGCAATTTACACTCTCTATTTCATTTCTATAACATATACTGATCATGAGGATTGATTCTAAGAAGCCAGGCACAGTGACACAGGGCTTTAATCTCAGCACTGGGGAGGAAGAGGCAGGCAAATCTCTGTTAGTTCAAGGCCAGCCTGGTCTACAGAGTGAGTTCCAGGACAGCAAGAGCTCTGTAGAGAGACTCTGTCTCAAAAAAAAAAAAAAACAAACAAGATTAACTTTATGAGCTGGAGAGATAGCTCAGGTTAAGGGCACTTATAAGGAAGGACCAGGGTGTGATTGCCAGCACCCACAGCTGGGAATGGCAGCTCACACCATTCACAACTCCAGTCCCAGGAGATCCAACATCCTCTTCTGACCTTGGGCACTAAAGTTCGAGCACAGACATATATGAGGCAAAACTCTCACACACATAAAATAAAATTTGAAAAGATTATTGTGAATCTTAACACTTAAGTGGCATATATTCCGCTCTGATTAATGAATCCCAGCTGACAGTGAGTTAGTGGGTTGAGCCCTACCTGCTTCTCAACCTTCACAACCCGGCCGAGCATGCTGAGGTCATCCGTTGGCTCGTGTTCTGCTGTTATTTTCTCTCGGCTCTTTTTATCTGATGTGATTTGTCCTTTTCCAAGAATTTGATCAACGCTGCCAGACAAAGAAGATATGGTTATAGGCAAAAGTACAATTCTCAAAAAAAAAGAAAAGAAAAAGAAAGAAAAAAGAAACAAAGGAAAAAGTGAAAAAAGAGAAAGACAAATTTGTAAAATGTTAACTATTTTAGAATTGATACACTTATCTTTTTAAGAAAAGATCTATTTGTATTATTTGTGTGTGTATGTGTGTCTGCCACTTGTGTATGGGTACCTTTAGAGGTGTCAGATTCTCTGGGAGCTTAAGTTACAGGCAGTTGTGAACCACCTGTCATTGGTGCTGGGATTTGAACTCAGGTCCTCTGGAAGAGTAGCAAGTGTTCTTAGTTAAGGCACCTCTCCAGCCCTTGATGATTTTTTTTAACACAGCATTATATATGATTACATATGAAATCATGTAGGAAGGAACGTCTAGAGGAAAACTGTCCAAGCAAAAATCTTGTCTCCACCTTGGACCAGTCAGTTCAGAATTCTACCATAAAACCATGAGATCAGAATTCTGATTATTTTACACCCGATAGAACAGATTCAATGAAGATTTGTTTGATACCTGATAATGTGGGTGATAAGCAGGTAAGAAAGCTAGGGCTTTTTTGTAATGTGTTCTACTGAGCTGCCATGTTAGCCTATCCTTAACATTGATTAGCCAGTGCCAAGGTCACTACATGTTACAAACCACATTGACTAGTCAATGGTCAGGTCAACCTTATGAGGCATCATTAACACTGTCTCCATTTCCCAGAAGATATGTGGAGGCTGTCAAAGTTTGATATAACACCCACATGAAAAGAAGAATACAATCTATGTTAAAAGGCAACCACCCTATTGCCTACCAAAAAATGAATCAGAAATACAAAATTGAGAGGTTATGTGTATTGTAGGAAACACCAAATAGTTCTCATACCCATCGCTTACCGTGTTTGAAGGCTTTTAATTCTACATAGCATGTCCAGATGACCAGCAGAGTATTGTTCAATGACATCTTTCACATCATATGGGCGTAGTGTTTCCTTAAACTTCCTCTTTGCAACATGAAACTTCATGATTCTGTAGCAATACATATTGAATATTATTTCCCAGAACCTTGTCAAAATAAGTGACTATTCGTTTATCAGCAAATATAAAAAATTCTCATAGTGATACAAATCCATAATTCCACTTACTCTCGAGGCCAAGGCAAAAAGATCGCAAGTTCAAAATTTGCCTGGGCTACATGGCCAGCTTGGAAAACTTAGCATCATCCTGTCTCAGGCCAAAGATACAACTCAGTGGTAGGGAGACTTGCTTAGCATATGTAACTCTGCCCTAGATTTTTGAAATATATATACATATATGGAACTCTGGGAAGCAAAACCCATGTATCAAATTATTTTATGCTTCTATAGTAATGCAATATAAAAGCCAGAGGTTAAAGAAGGCATTATTAAGAACATTTCATGTGAGACACACCTTCAGCATAGCAACACACACTAAGAAAGAAACTAAACATTAAGGGTTACATCTGTTTAATACCCATTGAAATCTCCAATTAAAACTACAGTGCAATTCTTTGTGACCACAGACATTTTTTTTTTTTTTTCTGAGACACGGTTCCTCTGTGTAGCCCTGGCTGTCCTGGAACTCACTCTGTAGACCAGGCTGGCCTTGAACTCAGAAATCTGCCTGTCTCCGCCTCCCAAGTGCTGGGATTAAATGCGTGGGCCACCACAGCCCGGCTACCACAAACATTCAAGATACTATAAGATCGAGTGACAGTATCTCTTAAAAGTAGAATATACTGGAGAGATGATTCATTTGGGAAACTGATTGCCATACAGTCACAAGGAAATCTGAGTTTGGATCTCTGGCATTCATGTAAAAAAACTGGCTCTAGTGGCATACACCTGCAGTCTCAGTGCTGGGGTAGTGGAGGGAGGTGGATTTCTGGTGCTGACTTGCCAGCTAGCATAGCTAAATTGGTAAGTGTCAGGATTAGTGAGAGATTCTATCTCAAAAGATAGGGTGGAAATTGAGGAAAGCATTTGATCTGAGCTTTACATGTACTTGCACATCTGTACACACACTCGTGCGCACGCGC